CTGAAATACTTGATGGAATTGGATGATGTTTGTTGGTAGTTGAAGGGAATGTTAGGGGCTATCGATCGGTATCCAATTCTGGCGGTTTTTCCAACCGGGAGTTGGTGGAAGTTTGGTTCATTTTTGGGTGATTCTAGAGAGAAGAGAGAGCATTTGGAATTTGAAATTTGACTAGCATATACTTTAGCATTTAGCGGGGTTGGAGTCTTAGTTAATAGTTTAGATTATGACGTAATTATTACTTGATCAAAATGTTTAATTAGATTAAAATGTATTAATCAAAATACTTATTTTAGTAGGGTACACAGTCTAATTTTTCCATTGTTATTTGTGCTAATCATGGTTTAACGTGTTTACACGTGTCGAAGGATTTTAAATGTTTATAAATAGAAAATTATAAAAAATTCATAAAAGTAATTTTAAAGCAATTAATAAATACAACAATTTCATTTCCTTATACTTTGTTGAGAGATCGTTTATTGAAAGTTATACAATACAAACAAGTTTTCTCGTCCGACTGACAATATACTCAAGAGGAAGACATAAACCAACTCTTGAAAATTAATTGTTTTTGAGGTGATCATGCAAATGTTTTGAAATGAAATGTTGAATAATCTTGAAAACTCTTGGCTCGCGAAAAGTAAAGTAAGAGTGGCTCGTCTTAAAACAAGTCTGAGTCACCTATAAATCGAGTTGGTTAGTGGCTCCATCCGTTTGCTACCCTTACCTCGCTCTGCTTGTTGACTACAGATTCATAACTTAGCTATTTTCCAACCAAAATAGTTATTTTGATTGTAGTTTCACAATCTATTTCCCTAAGCAAGCACGAATTTATCCTAAATAAATACGTGTACCCTGCAAGGGATGAAATGAAATTTTCACTGCAAAGAAGATTTAATTTTAAAGAATAAAAATAAAATTCTTTTCTTCTTAAATTAATCTTTAGTACGTGGACATCGCATAGGTGTTGAGCTATCATAATCAAAAAATTGAAAATCAAGAAAAGATGAAACTAACCAACCAATAAATTAAAGCCCCATGTGATAAGGCTTTCTTCTACTTTTGTTTCTTTCAGCCCAGCCCAAAAAGATGGAGGCCCACACTTGTCTTCTCCTTACAAAGGAAAATGCCATGTTGAGATGACAGCAAGCTCAGTGGTATTGAATGAGACTCGTGTGAACCCAGGAGAACTTTTCCTAATGTACAAATTAAATTCGCCGTCCAAGTCTCTGCTGTAGTCTCTTCTTGTTGCTGTTGAATTTCTTAGCTACTCGCATTGCCAGTGGAGGTGTTCTTGATAAAGAGCAACACCAGGTTATTTTTGTTGCAAGGTAACTTCATGCTTTTAGTTTACCTCACTAAATTTTTCAATATATTTCCTTTCCCTTTTTCTCTTTGAGGGGCGGAGTTCCTTATTGGTATGACATTTAGCTGATATGCCTATGCTACATATTACATTCTTTTAAGGGAGTTGAGGCGGATTTCTATCTGGGTTTAGTCAGAGCGTTGTGAATTATTGAAATCCCTAGTTGATATTTCAATAGATTGCAATTCTATCCTGTAATTGTCAGAATATGAACTCATGCCGAGTATAATACTTTGCTAGGTTTGCTACTTTTATTTGGCGTATTTTTATTAATGGAAGTTTATTCGATTTATTTATTAATCAATTGACAGGTTCTGAAAGTAAATCTTGAGCTTCAAGTTGGAGATATAGTTAATTGGGTTTATCAATAATCATATTAAAACCAAATTATATTTGAGTTTATTCCTGGGATGGCTACGTGTTCGCCCCAGTATTTGATGCCTCCAGATACTCGAAGACCCATGGGTGTATTGAATATTCTTGGAGGAAGAGTTGCGCCCTTAAAAATGGTTGAAGAAAAGATTGGGCTTTTAGGTATTATTCAAAAGGGTGGTTCAAGTGTTCCTCGCTTCAAATGTTCGACCAACTCTCATAGTGTTAATCAGCTTCAAGGTAAGGACCCATTTCTGAATCTGCATCCAGAGATTTCTATGCTACGAGGCGAGAAGAATGCCACTACGACCAATCCAAGACAGGACAATTTGAGTGGAAGTGTTACTGAGAGTGTGAGAGATTCGTCAAGTTTGAACAATTACAATGAGGCCAAGATTAAGGTTATTGGTGTTGGAGGTGGTGGGTCAAATGCAGTTAATCGTATGATTGAGAGTGCAATGAATGGTGTAGAGTTCTGGATTGTCAACACTGATACTCAGGCCCTGAGGATGTCCCCTGTGTTTTCTGAGAATCGGTTACAAATCGGTCAAGAGTTAACCAGAGGACTTGGTGCTGGTGGGAACCCAGACATTGGGATGAATGCTGCTAAAGAAAGCAAAGAAGCTATAGAAGAGGCAGTTTATGGATCTGACATGGTCTTTGTTACTGTGAGTTTCAGCTTATTTGAACCAAATGATTTTCTGCACAAAATGTTGCTGTTTCATCAGTTTTTTTTTCTTGTTTATTTGAGCTTCTAGTTGTCATACTAGCACATATCCTATATACTGGTCATAAACTTTTGGTCCTTCGATTTTTAATACTAACTATTTCAGTATTTTCCAATTCCTGGGCTAAATTGTTGAATTTTACAATTTTATGTTGGCTAATCAACCTAGAATATAGGTGTTCTGTCATTGTTGTTGACATTTTTCATTAATTTGGATCAGAAAATTGAGAAGCCTATGTTTTTTTTATGGTTATTTAATTTGTTTATAGAAAATATGTATCATAATCACTTTATCAAATAGCTAACCATAATCAGAGGGTGATCTGCTACACTATCTTGACCTGTTCATGTTTTTTGTAAAATTGACATTTATTGCAGTAACTTAAACTTAGAGATACATTAAAGGCATGTAATGGCCTCTATGCTTTAAACGCTCTTTGGTCTATGCCATTGTGTACCTTAATGAACATTCATTAGTGAGCAAGTATTATAAATCTGGATGGTTAATCATGCCTACCTGTTTCATTATCTTATCTTGAGGTTTTGATAATGTGCAGGCTGGAATGGGTGGGGGAACAGGAACCGGTGGAGCTCCTGTAATTGCAGGTATTGCAAAGTCAATGGGTATCTTGACCGTGGGTATAGTCACTACTCCATTTTCTTTTGAGGGACGAAGAAGAGCTGTACAGGCTCAAGAAGGAATTGCAGCTTTGAGAGAGAATGTTGACACGCTGATTGTCATTCCAAATGATAAATTATTGACTGCAGTTTCCCCATCTACTCCAGTAACAGAAGCATTCAATCTTGCAGATGACATTCTTCGACAAGGTGTTCGTGGAATATCTGATATAATCACGGTATGAATGCATGTGTGTGAGAAATTCAACTTCTATCCTTTGATAGCTGACAGTGTTTGATGGGTATCTTTTATTACCTTTTTCATTCAGTGTTTTGACTGCAAGTACTTTCAGGAGAAGGTTTTCATTTTTTACCTTTTCTAGGATATTATAATCTATTTAAAAACCATAATGCTGGTTGTAATTTTTACTCTTTCTTAACGAGCTTTCTTTTCCTTGGGTGAAACTCTGGGATAGGTAGTTAATAATCATGCTAATGAATTTAGAATAGTACCTTTAGTCTATTTGTCTAATGAAATATTCACATGACTGATATAATATTCATCAGTTTGATGATGGACCAATGGTTGAGCAATATGTTACAGGCAAACACATAATTATGAGTTGCGCAATATTATAGCATGTTTCGTTGGAACATAAAGCTTGAATCTAATACTAAGGCGGTATGCCTACCAGTGTGCTTGTGTGTATATTGGTTCACGCAACTTCCAGTTTGATATTATTCTTAAGAAGAATTGGACTACCTTTCTAATTATCTGAGACAGATATTGGGATTTCTGATTACTAATTGTTGAAAGTTGCACTATTTGCAGATTCCTGGGCTAGTGAATGTAGATTTTGCAGATGTGCGAGCTATTATGGCAAATGCTGGTTCTTCGTTGATGGGGATAGGGGCCGCAACAGGTAATTCCAGTAAGCCATTTCGTTTTTTTTCTTGTTCAACTAGCTTTAAACTGTTCCTTTTTTATCAATGTCATTCAGCCAATTCTGAACTTTTGCATCACCTGGCTTTTGGCTCATGGTCATTATCCCAACACTTTTAAGACTTTTCTCCCTTCTGTGTACATTGTGGACAANCATTATCCCAACACTTTTAAGACTTTTCTCCCTTCTGTGTACATTGTGGACAAAAAGATTCTTCTCATTGTTTCTGTTTGCTTTTTTTATATATTTCCTATTTTGTTTCCTCTTGGCCCAGACATGACAAGTAAAAGGGCCATCCAGTGTTTCCTCCAGTGTTGTTTGCACCCAACAGTCTTGGAATGATTCCATGAATCAGATTTCTAAGTTTCAAGATATTTTATTAAATTTTTGTTGCATAGATAACACCAGTTGGATAGAAAAAATTGCTGGATTTATGCATCTTGTGTAGAATTTCAAGACCATTAAATGTGATGTCATTGCCCTTTCTTCCCCCTTTATGTCAGTCTCCACTCAAGATAAAAGGTGTTTTAATCCTTTCGGGTAATAGAAGTTACATTGTAGGTGAACACTGTTTCGTCAGTCACTTCGTATTGGTGATGGTGCATAGTGGAAACCAACTGAACATGTAGGATTGGACTTTAACCATTTCACATGAAAATAGTGAGGTAAACATGTATGGCATTTGACCACCATTACCATGGACTTAAGAGCAGCATTTTTGCTCCCCAACAACCTCTCCATCAACATGACGTTCTTGTAGCCTAAACCAATGACCTTCGCTCTGATATCATTTGTAGGATCAGGTTTTAAGTATTGGTGTCCCGTGAGGGAACGTCAAACCTTTAATGACATTTGACCATCATCATTTGAGTGATCCAACCCGTGGGCTTAAGAGCGACATTGTTGCTGCCCAACACAATAGTTAGTTCCTCAAAATTCCAGTTTCGTTCTGGTGGGTCATAGATAGAGATCTTTCTAGACTTTTTACTTGGTATGATGACCTTGACTGCAGATTTTGACTGAAACATTTCTTCCAACTAGACTGCTGCTGTGGATGAGGTGTACAATTTTTCTTATGACCAGTTGGTATGAAAGATGCAGTTTAAAAGGCCCCTGCAAAATCGGAAAATGGACCTCTAAGAGATTATTTCAATATTGCAGAATGTGGGACTAGACGTGTTGGGATATGATAAATTAACGTGGAAATGGACAAAGAGTGGACTGATTTCTACTAAATCTTTCTAACTTCTTTTTGGCTGTCAAAAAACAGATGCATAATTGTTTTGTTGCTTAAGCATGAACATCATTAGTTGAGTACTGCCATCATTAGCAATATTCCCTTGAGAGGTGCTACTTGTGCATTATGGATGCCTTTATGGCATCCATAATGTACAAGTAGATAAATTCTATTCCCTTAATCTAGTCTGTTATGGAAAATGCAGATAATAGCAGCCATGAGGAACCTCATAAATTCTGAAGTTTTCATCTTACAATCTTGTCTTTCATTAGAAAATTATTTTCTTAGAATTGAATATGTATAACAAAATTATTGACGCAAACATGTGACATGAAAAAAGAAATAATAAATCAGAAATTGTATCATTTTCTTGAGTGATAAATCAGCACTCGGAAAACTTCTGCACTAAATTTGAATTTACTCTTTTCTGTCTCCAAGTATAATTTTCTATAGCCAATCAAACTGAAAATTATGTTTACTTGTACCAAAAAAAGAAATTTGGTTCATTATGCATTATGCCCCCTGCATCTTGCGACTATTTGTAAGGTTCTTGTACTTTTGAATCTTAGCATGACCAGTGTTGTCATCTTGCATCACGCAGGAAAGTCCAGGGCCAGAGATGCTGCATTAAATGCCATTCAATCTCCTTTGTTGGATATTGGGATAGAGAGGGCCACAGGAATTGTGTGGAATATAACTGGTGGCAGTGATTTAACATTGTTTGAGGTAGTTTTTGCTGCTATAGTTTTTCAAAATGGGACATTATTTTTACCATCGTTTACCAAGGTCTTGGCTTACGGAATGGTGTTTTCATTTATTGTCTAATTGCAAGCATATTTCTTTTAATGCCTTCCTCCTTAATGAAGTTTAGAAACTGGTAAATCTGAGATTAAATCCAATTAGTCAAACAATTCATCTAGACTTCCTGAAAATTATGTTCTTTACAAAATAATAGTGCATAATCTTTCCTGTTATTTAACTTCACATACAGTCAAGGATTTAATAATTAATCTGCCATAAGTTAGTTCTCCTATAAGAATTAGACATTTGAATTCTTCTAGAATCAAATGTTAAGTCTCAAATTATTTCCGTATATTATATATAAGCGTTGAGTTAATATAGAATGATTCAACCTCCCAATATTCTTTACTTTTTAATCCAAGATCAAGACTTCGATCGCAGGCTGTGTAGTTGATGTTGAGTATGCAAATTCAGCTTCCAACAAACACAACTTTATAATACACGTTTTTCATTTCAGCTTCCTTCCCTCTCCTGTTTTCTTTCTGAACTTTATTCTATTTTTTTGTCTTTTTTAAGATCCTTTCATCCCCCCTTCCCTTGAAAATATAATATCAGGAAATAAATATGTAAGATTGAAAATCAAAGCTTGGGGCTTGGGTCGTTTTTAATGTCTGCCGTGTTAAAGCAAGAGCTTTGTTTGTATGTCAGTTTCGGCACTTCAAGGTTCCCTGTTCGTGCATACAGAACACACACACACAGATGCAAATTTAATATATATATAGTGTGTGTGTGCAAGACAATTCCCCTAATTACACTATTTTGCAACCAAACCCTGCTGGTGACAATTGACATTAAGGGCAGAAGTCTCGTAAACTTGTACCGTTAGTTTCTCAAGAGTCTCTTATTCATAGTAATGCTTGTTCTACACTAAGAGCATGAAACACCAATCATCATATGTGCCTGATCGATGACGTTGTCTTGTGTGTGGAAGCAGTTAACCCCTATTTTATGTCACGTATATGTCCATTTATCTATCTTTTCATCTCCACTTTGATCCACATGGTTGGTGGAGAAGAGGTAAAGACCTAATCGTCACATGTATAGTTAGATGATCACAACCTGAAAATAGTGGAAATGAAGTTTAAGCATTTATACAAGATAATGAGATTAAACAAGGAGCCACATGATATGAACTTCACACGTACAATTCTGTTGAGTACGGATAGGGTGACTTATCTGTCAACATTCCACTATCACCTCAAACAAAACAAACTCTGCCTCATCTAAAGTTAGGATAGTACAATTAACCTCTGTATTTGATTCTCTGCAGTTTGTTTCTTCTATTTCCTAATTTTATTCATTTTTACCCAAAATAGGCCTATCTAGTAAGTGGAATAAATTTCATGTTACCCTGCCACAAAGTTGATATGCTTCTAATGCCAATAAAAAGTAACCCATCCAACATTACTTAGCATCCTCAAACCTTCCTAAGTTGCACTTCATTTTGGTATATAGTAGGAAGTGAATATTATTCATCTTCTGCAGTTTTTGACTTGTACTGGTGTGTCTGTATTGCACTATATAATATAAGTAAATATGGTATTTCGATGGATGATTTTCTTTGGATTTTGGTAGGTAATTAACATATTTCTACCATCATTTCTGTACTCTCTTTTTATGTGGAATGATAGGTAAATGCTGCAGCAGAGGTTATCTACGATCTCGTGGATCCTAGTGCTAACCTGATATTTGGTGCTGTAATAGATCCATCACTAAGTGGGCAAGTAAGTTATCATGTGTTTAAACATGTAATCGAACCTGCTTTTTACATATCATTCGTTATTTTAGAACCTATTCACCTATCTATGCACTTATAAGAATGGAACAGGGAGATGCATGCTAAGTGTACTGCTAAATCTGTTTCCTGTGGTGCTAGAAAAGGAAGATCACTATGCTGATGCAATCTGCCTTGCTTTGTGTCTCTCTTGTAATTTTTTCCATGTTAGCAGTGTTAAATCCAGCATAGGGGCAAGATGAGTTGGAGGAAGCTAGAGGGTGGGGTGGGGAACTTTGGATAATTTGAAATTAACATTCGGAGGAATATTAAACGTAAGAAACTTGAATTCTTAGGATAAATTTAAAATTGACTTTTCCCTTTGAAGGAAACATTAACTTATGGAAACTTGGGGGGGTGTTGCTATCCCTGCTTGTCCTCTTTCATTTGACTTTTGAGCAGGAGATTTAGTGATCAGAAATTATGATTGTACACAACTTCATTACTATCAAAAGCTTAAAATGTTTGTGCCGAAAAAGTTAAGCTTGTTAAAACCAAATTGAGGTCTGATTTATTGTATCCAGGCTATACTCATTGTCTGAAATATATATTTATAGTATACTTAAATGTTCACTTTTGTTACTGAATTTTATATTTAAAGCATGACTAGCAGAATTGGTTGTATTTATCCTAACTGAGCTGATTCTGAGCATGGGATGCCAAAACTAATATTAGACCTCTATTGCACGTGTTAGGTGTAGAAGTATAAACTGTATAACAGGTTAAGCTAGATGATTGAAACTGCAATGAGGTCTTAAAATATTCAACTGGAGGATGGTGTCTGTTTCAACAGGATATTATTTTTTTAGTGGATATATGCAAATGCATAAGATATAATGCTAACTGGGCAAGTGAACTACCAAATAATTCATCAAGGAACTTTTTCTTTTATCTCACTCTGCATTTTTCCGTTTTCATAAGGGGCGGGGGGGTTGGTTTGGGGGTGACAAGTACGAAATTTGACTGTCTTTTGGTTGCTAATTCAGAGTAATAATGTTTGTGGGAATTTAATAGTTTGGTTTGCCTTGATCCAGGTAAGTATAACTTTGATTGCCACTGGATTTAAACGACAAGAGGAAAATGATAGAAGATCGCTGCAGGTCTCTCTCTCTCTCAATGCGTGTCTATGCGTCTGTTTATTTATCCATCACTTTCTCTGTCCCCACATGCACCAGCCACATCCACTCAAATTTTTACGTAGTGTTCCTTTGCCAATGGTTGAAGTGCAGGCAAATCAGCTGACGCAGGGTGATATCAGCTTTGGAATTAATAGGCGATCTGCATCCTCGTTGGAAGGTGGTTCTGTGGAGATCCCCGAGTTTTTGAGGAAGAAAGGACGCTCCCGTTATCCAAGAGCTTAAACACATGATTAGATTTTCGTTCTTGATTCACTATCTTTGTACAGTATTTTGGTTATGCATCAAATGTGAGTTTTAGCTTTGAGATAGCACAGCCTCCACCCCGTTTCGTAATTGGAGATGATGAATATGTTGATTGTTGAAATTAGACACTTTTAACTGTATAATCATGTAATTTGTTCTACTTCTATCACAATGACGTGAAATAAGTTTGAGATCTTGTATAATGAGGGAATGCAAGCATATTTACGTATGGATATGATTATTCTCCAAGATTGGTTCCTCTTTTGCCCACGACACTTGTGGGTTTACCATACAGAGAACAAAATCACTTGTCCCCATTCATTCCCACACAATGTAGATTCATATATTCTCTACGCACAAGAAGAAATGGGAATAGAATATTAGGAAAAACACGTTCTCCCAAATTTTTCATTCATGCAAAAATAACATGCCGCTACCATGACCCCAGAACCCTTATCAGTCCGGCCATCAGCTTCCGCCTGAATGCAAGAAACTAAAAGAGCCAGATGACAATAAACGAGCGGAATCACAGAAGCCATCATCACAGACAAGGCTGATAAAAAATGGTGATGGTAAAAGTTGAACATTAGTGAGATGCAGAAGAGAGTGGAAATGATAGACTGAAGAGATATCGGGTTGAGGTGGCTGGTCGGGTTTGGATTCCAGATACATGGGGTCAGGTAGACCTTCTCAAGGATTGGATTGACCGCACCGCCGCTGAATGTTCATTACTGAATAAAAATATAACGTCAGCTCGTGTCTCATTGGTTGGACAAGTAGAGCCCATTCCAACAGATTAAGAAAACAAAATAGCTTTTGATTTCTTACAGTTCAAAGATTTTTTTTCTTCTTTATAATATGCTTGTTCTCTTTATTAAATACATGTTTTTTCACTGAATAATTGGCATTCTGTAAGAAATTATCAGTTTTGCCATTGCCATTCTCGGGTGTCAATTAACAATTATAGTACGAACTTCAAAACACTGATAAATGTTCTCTTAAAAGGCTGACAAATACAAGGATTGTATCTCTACAACACGCAACTACAGAATTATAATTGCAGTTCATCGTGTCCAGGTAAGAACACCAATTCCCATATCTTGATCGTCCCATCATCGCTTGCAGAGGCAAGAAGACGGTTTTCCTGCCATTTTTAATAAAGCAAACATGCATAAGAGGTCCATCTCGATTAAGCAATAGAATGCATATGCTGCATAGCATAATTGGAGTAATGGGGAAACATTATAACAAAGCTCTAGGGAATCATAAGCAAGGGACACTAAACACAGCTTAGATAAAAGAAGTCTACCCAGGATATGGATATTGTGTAACCTAGTTCGTGTACCAAGGTTTTTAACGTGGCATTATCAAATCTCTCTAAGAGAAGGTTAGATAAAAAGGCTGAGTTCAGTTTTGACAATGTGTAGTTGAGTTACTCTAGAATCTGCATTCAATTATTGCAGAAGCATCAAGTTGGTAAAACCAATGACGCATGCATTCACAAGGAAACCCGGTAATAGAGGAATCTATTCCAGAATAGCAATATTTCATTCACTAAAACCATGAGCAGTTCACAAAATGTTATAATTATTAATTACACATGGATGAAAGCAAAAGCTCAAAGAAAGTATAGAACTACTCGATTCAGCTAATTGTGAAGTTCATTTCCATTCTTTTAACTCGAAAGTACTTAGAGATGGATGCACCATCGTAAAGGAAGAATCAGCTAATAGGATACTACTCCAGTAAAGTGAGGTGCTAGTTCCACTAATGAGTACGAGATTTGCTATAAATCAGCTGCCGGGCCCAAAAAACTACATAAGAGCATTATTAGACAGGATTATCTCATCCAACCCATCAGATTCATTACACAGACTGAATTCAAGAAATCTGGTGCATTTGAAATATCAATAGATTTACCATGGAACTCCACTTCACAGAATTTACATCCATGTCATGAGCCTTGTCTTTCTTCAGAAGCAGTTTGTATGTAGGTTCATCAACCTGTAACGAAAAACAAGTAATTGTAACTACAGCAAAGCAGGAATAACTAACTGACACTACATTTTCTGTGATCAACATATCGTCAAAACGGGGTCACAGTCTACGGAAACAAATTACTACTATCACATGCATAGACAGAACCTATTTAAGGTCTAGTTTACCCCCTTTGTCACCTCCTGCAACTCATGACAATAAATTAATTAAATTCTCAATGAACAGGTTTCAGTGTGGAATTCATAAAGCATGCTCAGTTATATATGGTTCTACAGCAAAGCAGGAATAACTAACTGACACTACATTTCTGTGATCAACACATCGTCAAAACGGGGTCACAGTCTACCGAAACAAATTACTACTATCACATGCATAGACAGGACCTATTTAAGGTCTAGTTTACCCCCTTTGTCACCTCCTGCAACTCATGACAATAAATTAATTAAATTCTCAATGAACAGGTTTCAGTGTGGAATTCGTAAAGCATGCTCACTTATATATGGTTTTTTTATCCCAAGAGGGGGCGACAAGAATGTGCCGCAACCAGTGACTATTGGTTTTTGGGTTATAGATTAAATCTTCTTCAGTTCCTATAGATCTGATGCACGTTAGCCTATTACCCAAAGGAGCATGCAGAATAATAGACAATTCATATCTTTAGTCATCCATGAAAGCAATAACTTCGATCTCTCCTTTTCATTTTTCCCACTTCCATCTGACCATCTAATGCTTGCATACAGAAGAAACTTGTCCCACCAGTCATATCAAACACAGTAAACTAAGAAAAAGGTAGGAAAAGATTGGTCTCTGACTCAATAATATCAGGTTTCACCATGAGGAAACGTACATGTTGGAAGACATCAAACATATGTTTAAGCACAGCATCACAGCTTGTAATATAGCAGGAGAAGGATTTTCAGACTTTCATGGCATCACCATGTGAAGCAGGAATGTTAGAAAAAAGCCCAAGAGAAAAATGGAAAGCAATAAGAAAAAAATAAGTGATATGCCCGTAACATGAACCAGAGATCTGGATGGTCAAGAGGGGGGAGGTCTGTTCATACCAAACAATCCTTGTTCTCCACAAATAGACGGATAGCATCATCAGCTGCTCCACTGGTAATTATGCCTTCCCTGTAAATATTCACACAACTCGAATAGTTCATGACAAGTCCCAAAAAGATTTGTAAATGATGAAATATTAACCAAAATAATTAAAAATCACCAAGTTGTGCACTTGCATATTTAAACAAAAGAACGTGTGTGTCAACTGTCATGAAAGGGGTAGATGAAAAAGGTAAATTAATTGCCATATTTTTCTTGCTACCTTGACCAATGGACTGAAAAAATTGTTCGATCATGATAGCCAGAGAGGGTACAAAGATGTGACCTGACAAAAGCAAAAGAAAATATTTTATCAGTTTGCTAATTTTGCAGCCAGGATTACAGACCATGTGAAAAAAGTCATCAAGACAAGGGGACAATGCGGCACTCCCTTCATATAAAAAAAGTTGTCAATGAATATGAATTTCATTAATACAAACCATATAGTCCCCTGGGATAAAGATCTAAATGTATCACTTCAATCTAACAGCATTCCACACTTAAAAGTAAAAAATGTTTTAGTTTACACAAGGACTACACAAGGTTGTTGAAGGAATCAAGGTTATAAGATGTGATCATACTGATGTGTTACGTACTCTCACCAGACATTACAATGAAAAAGAAATATGATTGCACCAATATGGCAAGGGCACAAGTATCATATATGAAATAGTTAATGTCTACTGTTTTGATTGCTCAATTTTACAAAGTTCATAATAACAAAAGAAAGAGGAACTTGGAGTTAAAGGTTCAACAATATATGAGATTTTTTCATTTCACTAATGATGATTCATAAAAATCTTTTCTTTTTAGATTCCCCTTTGTGCGTGTGGGGTCATAACACATCCCTATATTTCACCTGACCTGCCTTATGAGGAATAAATAAGTGATCATAAGTAAAACGGGTAAACACTAAAGCATATTTTTTTATGAATATTACTTGCAGTTCAATGATCCCATTACAATACTAGTGATTTGAGACCAACTAATTTGGCATGGAAAACTATCCCAAAAAATCCAAGCCAAGCCCCACAGGACCTATGCTTAGTGTGGAAATAGGATAATTAAATCACTGCAACGCTGTTTCAAATGCGTAAGATCAATTATATTAAATGGGAATCAAGGGGGCGCAAACAACGTACACAACCCAGTGGCTGCCTATCTATACATTGGTATAAACTTCTAAAGCCTAGTATGAAAGTAAACAACTGCCAGGAAACATTGGTGAAGTTTTAAAATTTCTCTTTATTGAAATGAACTATCTTCTTTCTCAAACCCCTTCCATCCTCTCCTCCGCACCACCAAAAAGATGCATAATGGAATTACATGACTACTACTCGTTCAAGGCTCAAGCAACTAAACATCTTCGTTTAATCAGCAGGAGTTTTAGGTGAGTTGGAAGGTGTATCTTACGTAACTTCACGACTTTAGGAAAGCTCATATTTAGGGAAGATATAAATGCTGTATTTGGAAAGAGCTCATCATTTATGGAGAAAAGGAATTAAGGTCATCAAATAGTAAACGAAAGGAGTATCATACAAAAAAGGATTGTGCTATGTGTACATAATCTTTTACACAATCTTTTACACCCCTCTCACATGGAGGGGTGCCCACACACAATAAAATATTTGTGAGCCCCCTCCAAGTGAGGGGGGTGTAAAAGATTCTGTACACCACAAGGTGTACAAATAGCATTATCCTACAAAAAATACAATCAAGAAACAAAGCATATATTTGTTTTTTTGCCACAATCTTAACAAAGCATAGATATTTTATCTTTTGCAATATTGCTTAGTTAATTACGAAACTCACAATAACAAAGAAACAACGTTCATTCAATAATAGAAAGAACTCAAATGGATTATGATAAGGGCTAATAATTTTCTTGCATCGTCACTATGCTCTCAAACATTGCATAAATTAGCAGTAGCAGTAAACATCTTAGCTCCATACTAATTAGACTAATAGCATGCGCTATGTACATGGATTTACTCTTAATCCTTCAATAGTTTCATATTTTTCTGTCCCCTTAGTTGTCTGACACGTGCCAATGAAGCTGTAACTCGGGCTGAAAAAAATTTGAGCTCTATTAACACAAAAAGATAGAAGAAAAATATTGTAGGTCTGTCATTTCAAGTGATAAATGCGAGTTTAAACCATCATATTTTAGGGATAAAATGCAAATTTAAAAAGGCTAAAATTTCATCTCAAGCAACAGTAAAGGAGGAATAAAACACACAATATGACAATTTGCTCACCAAGGTGCATTTCCATCACCTGACTGCATCCTCATAATGTCAGCACCCCATATCTTAAGAGTACGATCATCACTGCAAAAGCATTTTGACTACATTATATATCCCTTCACAACTATTTTTCTGCTAATAATCGAATTACAGCTTTAATAATAATTGGAAACAACAATTCTCGCGTGGTTTGATAAAAATGATCAGAACATTAAACTTGAATAAATTGGCATAAAACATCGAAGTCATGCATACCTACAGGTAACCATTTTGTCTCCATCCGAATTAAAAGATAAAGCCCAGACCGAAGATGTATGTCCACTGGAAATGCAAAGACAGTTACATGAGAGTTTAACAAAATCATAAACAACCTGATATGAACCATATAGAGGGAAAATGATGTCAAAACTGATAAGCAAGTGAATCAAAGATAATAACCATGAATAATGGAAAGAAAATAAATCTAAAAATTTTATGATGCACAATCTGTATTGGGAAAAAAACTTTAATAACTCATGGGACAGACAGTATGAAAAAAAGATTCAGACAAAGACCTTTGGCTTAGAAGCAAGAGAAATTTTTTCTGTTGATGTTATTGCAACACACTTGATGGACTCTATAATTCAGTAAATGGCTTCTATTTCAATTGAATTTATTTTTCGACTTCTGAAAGTTGAATCAGATGTTAATGTAAATGAACCAATTTTACTTAACCTATACGCTCAAGGCTGTGGGTCGACGTAGCATGCGGCAGACAATCAATTAAGTTTTCAAACTTAATTTGGTTTCTACATCACCATCTTGTGTTTGAGGGGGAGAGGGGGCTAAAGATTTGATTTTTCTTGTTCAATAAAATCCTAGACAAACAGGGTTTTTCTTTTTTTTCCATATTAGGAGATTCAGTTAACTCTATTGGTTATTTAACAAAATGATTTGATTTTTAGACTCTTTCAATTTTTGGAATAAGATAAATTATGATAGGTTCTTAAAGGAAAGATTATGGCACGTATTTGTAGAGAAGATTATGACAAGTCCTTTCTTATTTTGGTTATTTGTACCCCTATAGTAATTTTATGGAAGAGAAGGTGAAGGAATGAAAGGAAAGAAAAAAATGTGAAAGCATATGCATGCACATGTTTACAAGGGCAGTATTGATATTCATGTTTCATGTTTTCTTAAAACATTAGAATGCTAATATAGAGATTTATCAATCATTAGTAGGTAATTGGTTATCCCTCTTTAAAATCTGATCAATTGTTGATGTAAAATTCATAAACTAAAAGGGCTACCACAGAAAGGCTTAAAATGGCATATTGGAATAAACCACAGGACAAGCATTTGAAATTATATATATACAAAAAAAAAAAAATCACAGTTCATAACAAGTGTTACTAGTAGAAAGCATTTGAAATAGTATATGAGATGGGACAACCCATGGGAAATGAGCATGTGCCATATAATTCTCTCAAACACGAAGAACGAGTGCAAATCCATACCTATCAGATTCACCTAAAGTTTGAACACAATGCCAATCATCGTTGTCCCCATCTTCAGCCCAAATCTGCCAGAGTTTGATGAATGTTATTTAATATCTTTCAATATTTTGAATTAAAGTAGCAGGTACACTGGTTTAACATTATAGTTGAATGCATGACCAGAATAACAGGATAGTTTGACTACTGCATTCACCTTAATAGTGTTGTCATAGCTACAAGAGAACAGGATATCCACAGATGGATGCCATTGGACCATTTTAACATCTTGTGTATGTCCTTGCAACACCGAAACACAGTCAAACTCATTACCAGGTAATACTTCCCATATCCAAACTGATTTATCTCGTCCACAAGTTGCAAGCAGCGAGCCAGATGCGTTCCAAGAGACACTTTTGACTTCATTTTCATGACCCTGCATATAAATTCAACATTTGCATCCATATAAAGACAGCGTGACTTGAAGAGATCTTGCAACTGTTTGAGTAGATATTATAAAACAAAGGAAGAAACATTAAACAATTGGATCATGTTTTAATGCTTTAAGGCCAAAAGGTCACAGGTGGGGTATCTGACTGCAAATTGTTTAAAACATTATATAATTAATAACGATTCACAAGAAAATATTAGCTGGTTTGTTAGAATATATAACATAATATACTCATCTTAACAGTTTGATATGGAATTTGAAAATGAAACTATACCTCTAGAGTGGAAACACATTCATAATCACCACCAACATGTTCCCAAATAGAAGTAGTTGCATCAAAACTTCCTGTCGCTAACAATTTGCCAGATGGTGACCAAGCACATGATCTAACAGTCCTAGTGTGTGTCTCCTCCAGTACTGCCTGCAAGAACACGTACTTAGAGTCACGGAGAAAATGAAGTAACAAACATTGATAGAAAAATGAATCTACAATGTCACAGCTCTAAAGAATAAAATTGCAGACACTCAATAATCAAATTAAATCTAAATATATACGGGCATTATTTGAATAGAAAATTCAGTTTAAAAACTACGCAATCTACCAAATATGAGCCTTTGATGTAAAAATGGGGCTGGTGGCTGAGGAAAAATAGTTTTATTTTTATCTTCATTTTTATTTTTATTATTTAAAAGAGAGTAAACATAGTTGTATTGACGTTTTCAGATGAAAAACAAGCCCCAAAATATAAAAACATTTCCTAGATTGAATGCATCTTTACATCAGTTGAACCAACTTGAAATAGATACATTTATTATAAAAAATAATGCCAAATCTACGCAATGCGACATTTTCATTATACATTACTCTCAATCAATTTATCATTTCTTATCAAACATAAATAGAAATAATAAATTCAATCAATTATTAGATATCATATTTTCAGATAGTAAAAAATAATAATAAATAAATATTTTTCCTTCATTTCAAGATATTATTGTATCGATTATCACTGAATCACTTATCGTGTTACGTTTATAAGAAAAAATATCTCAGAAGCGAAACCCAAGCTGAGAAAAAAAAAAGAGTGAGAGAGAGAGAGAAATATTGAACCTTGCACTGAAAAGATCCGGTAGCAGGGCTCTGTTCCCAAATTCGTACGGTCTTGTCGCCGCTACAAGAAGCAAGTACGGCAGGGATACCATCGATGCCGGACGCCGGTTTCCAGGCAAGGCTCCATACCCTATCGGTGTGTCCTTCGAGTATCTGCTTTTCCTTAAGATCGAAATCGCCGGCGAAATTCATCGTACAAATTCAGAGATGAAGTGTATAAAATTTGTGTTTTGAAGGTAGTTCACGCGCCGCTGTAGATGGTGGCGAATTGCGGCAGAAGTAGGAGAGTGTGGTAGACTCGTGCCAGTATCACTCGTGGACCAGGAAAAGTAAGTAACGAACATAAGCCCCTGTTTGGCCCCCATTATTGTAAATTTTTAGGGGGTTGAAAAGTTTTAGATTTGTGTGTATTATTATTTTATTTGATGAATGTATGGTTGAGATGAAGAGAGAGAAAAATTTAATGTAATGTAATGAGATATAATGGGAGACAAACAAGCAGGGCCGGCCCTATGATTGGCGGGGCCTGAGGCGAACTCTGGA